AAAAAAAAAAAAAAAAAAAAAAAAAAGATTTATAGGATTATGAAATTCGAGATGTTTAAACAGGCTTTATGTAAGGTAGTTGCAACTCTCTTCCCTAAACATCTTTTGAAAATGGGTATCGTATCTGACTGGGGGATGTTTCCCCTACCTAGTACTATAAAACTGAAGGCATGCAAATCTGCCTGTATTAGTCTGTTCTCATGCTGCTAATAAAGACATACCTGAGACTGTGAAATTTCTAAAGGAAAGAGGTTTAATGGACTCACATTTCCACATGGCTGGGGAGGACTCAAAATCATGGCAGAAGGCAGAGGAGGAGCAAAGTCACGTCTTACATGGCAGCAGGCAAAGAGAGCATGTGTAGGAGAACTCCTCTTTATAAAACCATCAAATCTCATAAGATTTATTCACTATAATGAGAACAGCACAGGAAAGACCCACCCGCGTGATTCAGTTACCTCCCACTGGGTCCCTTCCATGACATGTGGGAATTATGGGGGCTACAATTCAAGATGAGATTTGGGTGGAGACACAGCCAAACCATATCTCTGCCCTTTGAGAAATGTTAATCAGGCTTGCTAAATGGGAATAGTAGGATTGCCTGAGCCCACAGAATATTGGGTAAACACTGGACTGTTGGTTGCCACAAATCCTCCACTTGATAGCTCTTTATGGAGTGTCCATTGGGGCTTATGGCAAAAGCTGTGAGCATCTCCCAATGACAACTACTGAAACTCTGGACTAGAGAATTTCCCCTTGAGGAACATTTACTGCCTTGCTATGGGATGTTAACCAAAACTTCCCCTATGCTAATGGAAATAATGGTGCCCGAAATAATGGTGCCCAAAATAATTCTGTGATTAAAAATGGTTTATATAAAATCTTGCTACCTAAGGAGGCAAGGTGGAGGTACTCATGAGCAGGGAGCCTCTTTTCCCCTAGGACTGATCTAACTATGTAAGCAGCTACCAGATTTTACAATGCCTGATAAATAGCTCTCATCTGACAAGAGCTGCTTGCCTTGTGAATGGCAGTTCCAGGGTGAACAAATAACATCTTGTTTGGAAACCTGCTGCTCTGGTTAAAGACGAGGCAAGGAAATCTTTTTCTTTTGAGTTATTTATAGTTTAGAGCAATTGGGTAAAGAATATTTTCGTGAGCAAATTTACCCTTCTCTCTACCTGAGTTCTCCAAAATTTGGAAACTGTTCTTGAGTATTCTGATTTTATATCAATATCATTATTTGCATAAGTTTAGTAAGAGTCTTTTCTTTTAAAACAAAATAATTGGAGACATTGGTTATTCTACCAACCTTTGCCTAGAATAACATATTTTTAGCTAAAGTTCCAGCAAAGTCAACCTAAAAAGGCCAATCAATCATTGCTGCACTTTATGTAAATAATCAGGCCAAGTATAATAAGCCTAAAACTTATTTTGCACACAAATTGGTCTTACTATAATTTCTCTTTAGAGGGGTTATAGGCATGCACCACCACGCCCAGCTAATTTTCAGTTATACATTATAAAAAGATACGCATAAAAAATGTCTGTCAGGAAGAGCAGAAGATCAAACATTGCATGTTCTCACTCATAGGCGGGTGTTGAACAATGAGAACACATGGACACAGGGAGGGGAGCACTACACACTGGGGTCAGTTGGGGGGAAATAGGGGAGGGCCGGTGGGGGGTGAGGAGTTGGGGAGAGATAGTAAGGGGAGAGATGCCAGATGTAGGTGATGGGGAGGAAGGCAGCAAATCACACTGCCACATGTGTACCTATGCAACAATCTAGCATGTTCTTCACATGTACCCCAAAACCTAAAATGCAATAAAATAAAAAAATAATTAAAAAAAAAAAAAAAAAAGAAAGTGTCTGTCAGGCTACAGCCATGAAAACTGCCATTTCAGCATGTTGGCCAGGTTGATGTCAAACTCCTGGCCTCAAGTGGTCCGCCCACCTTAGCCTCCCAAAATGTTGGGATTACAGGCATGAGCCTCCGTGCCTGGCCCTAGATAGTAAGCCTTTCGACCAATTACCAATCAGAAAATCTTTGAATCCACCTATGACATGGAAACCCCCTGCTTCCAGTTGTCCTGCCTTTCTGGACCAAACTCATATACATCTTACATGTGTTGATTAATGTCTTATATCTCACAAAAATGCATAAAACCAAGCCTGACCACCTTGGGCACATGTTAGCAGAAAAGGAGAGCTAGAGAAAGATAAATTGTTTCAAAGAAACAGTATAACACCTGTGACTAGATTTCACCCCTGACATTTGTTTTTGAGTGAAGATTGAATCACAAATTATTTCTTGGCTACAGTCATCCTCTGGAGAGTACCAGGATATAATTTTCTAAATGTTTTTAGTTGGCACCCTGATGAAATAGGTTTCTTTTTTCTGGTCTAACACACAGATTCTCTTTTGATTGTCAAATTATTAATGTTATTTATCTCTCATAGTTGTACTTCCCAGAAAAGCAGAGTCATGATATTCTAAAGACCAGCGATGACTGGACAAAGCCTGTAAGTCTCCCTTATTTGGAATCCCCTTGGGCCCCATGTGTTTTTCACTGCAAATGTCCTGCTGCCAAAACTATACCAGCACCCCACCTCTAGGCCCAGGGATTATTGCGGAAGAGGTGTTCCACCAAAACAGAGAATGGGGTGAAATTCAATGCCTGGACCTCCAAAAGCATGAGATTGTAAGGACTGGTTTTGAAGGATAGAGTTAGTTCAGACCCTCCAAATCAAGGATGGGTACACAGATGCCTAAACAGCAGGCAAAATAAGGGACTCTGCCTCCTGGGTTACTAAATTCGTGGCACCTTTTCATTCATCCCAATCATAAACAATTTCCTGTTTCCCATAGAA